CTTCTCCTATTTATTCCATAATTTCAACACATATTTACATTAATTACATTAATCACCCGAATATAAGAAGGGCTACTGAAATCACCAAAGGGCTATACGATAGAAATTTGCGATCTTACCTGCACCTTGACATACGAAACACGCCTGTACGATAATCAGATACAGCAATAGATTGAGATCCATTATTCTCACTTTGCAGGAACGTCTAACCATCATCAAACTATCAATCAATTCCCCTGAGACGGACGAGCAACGCCGGGTTATGAAGTTTTCAATCAAAATGATGAAAAAAGGGCGAGCTGTTGCTTGCCTAAGTTCCTTTTAGACTTAGAGTCAGCACCGCTGCTTCGTCTTGTTGAAGAACAGTACTGTTCTGCGTCTAAATACCAATTATATTCCAAACGCTGAATGCACCGGCTACAGAATGGTGTGGAACTGATTTTTGTTGCTGGCTACCAGAGAAATGAAGCAAGATTTTAGTCTGTAGCCGACATGATCGAAATATGTTCTCTCACTCTTTCGTTCTGTCTCTTAGCGAGTGTGGCGGTCTTGTTTTGAATATGAAGATGGTGCTGGTGGGTTGGTGAGGAGCCTGATCTATCTCTCTCTGCCCCGAGTTGGAGGCGCGGACGGACAGGGTGCACGCGCTCGAAGAGAAAAAGGAGCACATATCATGACGTCACGAGAAGCAACGAGTGCACGGCGAGGCGAGGATGGTATATCAAAAGCCCTCTATGGGTAAGTGATGGCATAGTTTCTAACAATGCTTTTTATCATCATTATTGATAACACATATTTCCATTATCACCTTGGGCAGAATAACGATTGTGGATTGTGGAATGTGGATTGTTGGGAAATTACCTGATATTTCATTCCAATTACCAAGAAGACAATAGAACATAAAACAAATTATCCTTGCTTTGTATGCTCATACATGCAGCTCCAGAGTTGAAAATCTACTTTAAGATAAAGCATAAACATTTCTTTTATTAAAAATAAAAATGGCATCGGTATTAAGTTAAACCAGTTAATGATACTGTGTTGCTGACTGGGTCTTGAAACTAATAAAAACCTGCTGGCTACCAGTCTATTCTTCTGTGTTTGGAAATTTATTTGCTTTCCTTGTAAATGTCATTTTACAATATGTTATGATTAGGATATTGTCGCAGAAATGCAGATTCCGTGTGAGACAATTATTAATTTTGAATTAGGTCAATTATTGTCGAATTCTATTAATTATTTGTTTTAATCAAAGTAAAGAGAAGAAAAGAGTGAGATATTGGATATCTAGAGATGTAGAAAAGGAGAGGAAAGGGGAGCAAAGATATAGGGAGATAACTTGAGACAGAGATAAAGAGTGAGAAAGAGAGAATATATAAGAGATAGAAAGATAGGGATATAAAGAGAGCGAGGGTCAGAGATGAAGGGGATATTAAGATGCTTAGAGATTTAGGAAAAGAGAGAGAGAGAGAGAGAGAGAGAGAGAGAGAGAGAGGTAGAAAAGGGGGAGTAGGCAGAGCCTAGAGAGAGAGAGAGAAGGGGAAGAAATAGAGAGACAGACAGAGAGACAGAGAGAAAGACAGAGATAGACATAGGGAGAGAAAAACAGAGCGAGAGAGAGAGGGGGAGGGAGAGACAGAGAAAGAGAGAGAGGGAGAGGGAGAGGCAATTGTTTATACCTCCAGCAAAGACCTGCATTGCAGTGTCAACAAAGACGGTGCAGTAATGTGAAATAGCGCCATCTAGCGAAAATTTGGCAAGTGCATTCTATTTTTGATTGCATCGGGGAAATACAGATCTTGACAGATGCAACCGGTCAAATAGTTTTACGATTTTGAAATCGAATACAAAAATGTAGCATTATAAAATGTATCGTTTTTGTTATTGTTGATGTAAACGGCTTTGCAAGAAATATCATATATCGTGTTAAATCCGGGATGCATGGCCCTACATGTTATCAGGGTCTGTGATATGGTGTAATATTGAAACCCTAAACATATTGAGCTTCAAAATTACCATGAAGTGCCTCAAAAAAGTAATAATTTGGAGTAACCGGTTTTACCATACTCATTTTCCCTAATAGACTGTAGTGTTATACAAACCGTTAGAAAAACGAAGAATTAAATTTCGATTTCCAATCATAAATATCTTGATAATCAGACAGGCGATCGGCTTTTAAAAGTCATGTACGTAATTCCTGACTGACCTAAAGGTTTATAATTATGATTGCAGCATGAGCTAAAACCAGGATTTTGTTTCAGAATCTGAGTCAAGGTTACCGATTCACTTTATAGCGAGTGACCTGATGTCATTTTATTTTAGTATGTGTAAAAAGGATCTGTAGAGAATGTACAGATGCTTTTATACTGCTATATCAAAATTACCATCATCATCATCATCCTTCATCATCATCATCATCATCATCAGCATCATCCTCCTCCTCATTATCATCATCATCATCATCATCATCATCACATTCTTTTCCGTCCACGTGTAATGTATATCGACCATAATCATTATCACTTTCGGTTTCTAATCTTTTGTTTAATGTTCCGCATGTCCTAGAGAACATACGTAGTAGTAGTTATTGCTGCTGTGTTGAGAGAAAGAGAGAGAGAGAGAGAGGGAGGGAGAGGGAGAGAGAGAGAGAGAAAAGAGAGAGATAGAAAGAGAGAGATAGAAAGAGAGAGAAGTAGAAGTAGTTGTTATGTTGAGAGAAAGAGGGAGAGATGGAGAGAGGGTGAAGGGGAGGAGAGCTCTTTGTCACAAACATTGGGAGTACAAATTTATATTTCAAATGTTAAAACTCAGTACAGTAATTATTCTCTTTTCTACTCGTAAATTGTATTTATGCTTGCAGCACAGAATCTAAGCTGTATTGATATTTTGTAAGCTATAATAATTTGTGTAAACAAATTGTGATGAAGACTCTAACGGGGCGTTGCAAGAAAGTTGCGATTGATTGCAGGTTGCAAAATTTGCAACTGATATTTGCAATCGATTTCAACTCTATTTTGTTGCAAAGCCCCACTAGTCTCCCAAATTTTGTAGGATTTTGTTACTAGGATTCAAGTTTTAACAATTAAATTAAGTTAAGTAGACCTAGCTTTTATTCTCCCGTCTCTCACTCTTTCTAATGGGACGTTGCAAGAAAGTTGAGTTGCGAACAATTGCAAATTTGCAATTAAACACAAGACTTACACTTGATTTGGGGGATTCGCAATTGATTGCAGCTTTCTTACAACGCCCCATAAGACAATCATTATACTACCACGTGACAAAAAATCTGGTCAAAGACAGACTCAAGAGGTCGAGATTTATGTTGTATTGTGTCAAAACGTATATTTAATTCAGTCTCCAACAAAACGGATGGAAGTGGAAATACATTTAAATATACAATGATAATCAGAGTATCGATTATCAAGCTGTACAGTATCGCTTGTAATCGCAAACGATTTGGTTATTTGAAGACCAATAAGAGTTATGCTTATATAGACATGTAGAAAATAAGAAAGGAAAGAAAAATAAAAACAAAATAAACAAGGAGTGCCCGATAGAGCATTAAATGAAAATATGCAAATAGATTAATACAGATAAATTTGATATTTAAAATCACAGCAAGTCATATTAGCATCCAGCACTAGCTGCGAGATAGTCAAAGTAAGGTTCGTTTTTTTGTTATAATATAATCATAATCATATCTTATCATCTCTATATTATATAGACTCTATATTTCAATGTACACGCAATTCAAATGAAGAGAGACGCGCCCTCTTCGGCGACTTTGCGGACAGCATGAACAGCAAAAATGAACTACCACTAGGTGTACATGATTGTAAACTATAATAATGCTTCCCTTATACCAGTAATATGAAAAAACATGCAGGAAATTACATAGAATGCAGGACCAGCCGCAGATGATCTACCCTTACCCCAGTCATACTGTCCAACCTACGCCAGGGGCCCGTTTCATAAAACTTGTTATCGATAACAAATGCTAAATTTCTATGACAAATTTGCTCTCAGCCAATCAGATGCCATGATTTCAGTAGCTTATAACAGTAGCTTGTAACGTGATATCGATATCAAGTTTTATGAAAATGAAAGTTTTATGGTGTGGGCCCAGGCCCACACCAGACCGACATTTGACCGAACAAAAATAGCTTGCATTACCCCGAACGGGCGACCAAGATCTTGTCGGTGACGTGTCGGCTTGGAGTCGGTTTGTGGTGTGTGACTGAGGTTGTACCCATGAAACATAAAGATATAAACATGAATAAAGAAAGACGTACGAGTAAGTAACCGTGATTTCACTTAGTTTTCTCTGTAATTCCAATCACGCTTGAAATATTCGCCCAGTACCGTCCATCCGTCTCACAATACGTCACCATTTTTTCTTTCTATCTGATAACGTATAGACAGGGAAAATACGATGTCCAAATGCGTTAACACCACATGGGGACAGAGCTTAGAAAGACTGTCGCTATTCTCCCATAAAAATGGCACAACGTAAGGACAGCAGAAAACGTGATGGACAAATCTACGTCTGAACACGGATTGACTCGCCAATAGACGAACAACAGAAACAACATACTTGCAGTCTGTTGATAGATATAGAAGGACGTTAACACTGACTTAAAGTGTTATTAGTTAACTCCTTTATGGCTCTCAACAGGTATATTTTAACACAGTACATGGCGTTTTTAGGCCAGAATTATAGAATATTCGGCTGCATTCCAAAATAGCATACATTGATCGTCTGTTCAGAGCCAGAAGTGCGTTAACTCTGTATGTTAACGTACATGTATGTGAGTTAAATCCCTTCTGGCGTTAAGCTGACGATCATATTCATTGCTGTACGGTCACTGGATGGGGGGGGGGGGGGGGGACTATTATTATTAACCGTACTAACGAAAGATACTTCATAGCTACATGTATACCGTTTATGAGATCGGTTAACCCGTCTCACGGAACACGCATTATTTGGACATTTTTTTAAAAATCGATTTGGCCCCTTTTTATGCAACGATTTACCATTCAAAAGGTCACCAACAAAAAAGTTAAGCACGATTATGCAAAGAGCATGAATTCATTACTAAAACTGCATAAAATGGTACAATTCTTGAGATACGTGTAATTGAAAACTGTCGTAGGATGCTATATTCTTTAGTAACACTGAACAGAAAAGGTTCGGCTGAATATAGTTTCTGGGGTTTTATAAATAGTTAATTAAAAGTATATTACAAATGATGCGAATACTTTAAACTTGGTATTGAATCGTGAAATGAAATGATGTTGGCCGTCATGTATTACACAGACAGAAACAGAATAACACACATAGAAATATACGGCAGAGTATATTTTTGTCTCTACTTAAGAACAATTATTGCATAATGATATATAATGTACACCCGAATCTACAGAAATAATAATAGATTCATAGGGTTATATTTTTCATGAACACATATATGTCATAATGGTATAGAGAATAGTATCAGTTTCTAAATAAGAGCGCTTAGGAAAATACCTAGTTCGTCAAAAAAAAAAAGTATGGGAGAGAAAAGAAATGTATTTAAAAGAACAAAACTGACTACGTTTGAATAGAATACAAAATGTTATGTATGGCACATATATTATATTTTGGTCTAACCCATGGCGTGTGAGTGTGAGGTAATCGACATTTTGCTTCGCGCCATCCAGAGAAAAGAAAATTACGCCTTTCTATTTAAAAATCGAAAATCTCATCTTGGAACTGAACGAATATTAAGACTGAAGATGTAGAGAGTGCAAAATTGCAACGCAGGGAAACATATCATTGCCTAGTGTTTTTACTATATGAATAAACACATACAAATATCTGCATCGTGTAAATAATATTTTCACTTAAAAAGAAAAGATAGGTGTGTTTAGTACTTGAATGAAAATGCCATCATTTTCTCAAAAAATAATTTTCTTGAAAATTAATTTTGTTAATAAAACAAATTTATTCGGCTTTAGCTCTTCTTGGATATTAGGCCGCTAGCACAAAATTATCAAGTGGACATTTAAAAATATATGCTTGAATTCTCACCAAAAACCCTTGGTCTCAATTTCATATCGTACACTCCTAATCGGTTATAGATAACCGTATTTATCATTTTACTATTGCTTCCATTCGATATAATTAAACTCTAGTCCGTTTATGGTAAGTCCAAAAGTAAGCATGCAGGTTAAGAAGTCTCGAATGAGTCTTGTTCACATCGGTATCGTCTTATTTCGGAACAAATGTCATATTGCTTACAATTTTAGTATGTCGTAATGACCGTTTTCACACCTAACATGCTTACTGTCTTTACATTACATATATGTTGAATACTTATATCATAATGAAAAATTGGTAATAAAAATAAAAGTGATGAATATGATATCATTGATAAACAATTTATCAGTTTACTTACAATAAGAAATAACATTAAAAAAAGAGTTAATACGACGATAAAGTCCAACGCCAGCGTTAAGAGATAAACTTCATATCTACAGTCAATTTACCCTTATCGCATTTTTTTTGTACTCAAATTCGTATAGATTTGATGTTTTCAGCTAAATAGAGAATATCAAAAAATGCCTTTTTACACTCAAAACAAGATCACATGTACAGGAAATATTCACAGTCAAAAGTAGCGTCAAACAAATGTAGCTATATAATTATCATGTCGATTATAAAATATACAAATTATCACTTTTGTTCATTTTGTTACATTACGTGATCTCAGTCTCACATTTCGTCACGTGTTAACCAAGATGTTGTTGCCATGTCAGTAGTGGCTCATACATCAGTTGCTCGAGCCCATCGTAACTGCTGCACTGGTGATGTAGTCGTACCTTTGTTCATCATCATCATGTCAACATATCACCTCGATCGTAACCCGCATATTTCTTGAAAACATGGTTCTGAGAAAAAAGAACCCGTCACTGGTAGGATGGTCCCAATTCGCTCCTGATATTGTAAACATGAGTGAGGAACATGCAAAATGATCGCAAGGGAGGTTCTGGCGCCAAGGGGATGAAGGGTGCGGTACAAAATTCCATCACACTCATCACCGATGGAGATGTGAAGGTAGTAATTGAGCTCTATAAAGGTACCCTAAGATTGAAGCAATGTTTCGTTCGAGATCCGATGCTATTTTGAAAATTAAGATATGAATTCAGTAAATGCATGCTCTTTTATTTCACACCTATCTCGTAAAACAGGATGATATCCGTCAAAATGGTGAATTCAAACCGCCATTTCTTCTAATATTATTGACTGGTGTAATTATGTATCATGACAGTATGATATCCAGTGATCCTCAAGATTCAAAGAAACAAAAGGAAACACAATGGGTAAATTATTAACCGTATTACCATTATTAAGTATGCATAGGGTTACCTGTGCCAGGGAGGGAAATGGCGAACTGAATAACTGAGACCGGTCGAGCCTCTCCTAGTCTGCAACTTTTGAAATTTGAACGTTTTTTAAAGGACTGATTTACTTTAATGATAATTTATCAAGAGAGCATACATTTTGCCATATTTGCTGTGTCGGCTTCGAATATAATGTCAACTACTATCGGTTATTTGTGGCTCCATCTACTCGAATCTCATTGAAAATATCGCCCATCGGTAATTCTTTTTTCACCAGAGGCATTGATGGTTGCAACGTAATACATTCCTGGTTACTTGGGTACCATTCAGCACTTCTTGGGCCAGAACGGAACACGCCCTTCTCGGGAGAGGGGCAATAGTACCCAAAGCTTCTTCTCCACTAGGCGGGGTTTGCATAAACGCTATCCTACAGTTGTCATCGAGGATTTCATCCATCGGATCATCAAACCTTCATCGCAAGAAATACCATCATCCACTGTCCTCTGTAGGATGCGTCATCGTCATCATGTTCAACCACGAGTTGGAACGAGTACCATCTCACCGAGAACAAGCATACAGCCCTAGGATGAAAATAAACATGGCTTCCATCACTCACGGCGGCGGCAAAAGTTGCATTACTTTCGTTTATAAAAGACTAGTCACATCAGCTAGTTTTAGTGCACCTCTAGTTAGTCTGTAATTGGGAGATCGGTGGTAGCTGACATGGTCGGGGCCGCTGTCATCGCAGCCTCGTCCCGTTCTATCTGCGTCACCACGGGCTCGAAGATGAGGGGCGCCGATAAGATGATTCCAGATGTTCCGCAAATTACGCAAATTAAAAAAATCCAGAGAAATATCCGGTCGATAACCATGGCAACGTATTTCCAATCTTCTGTTACCTGTTGGAATAAACAAACAAAAATAACAAATGTTTATTTCAAATGTGAGTTTCATCTTCAATTGAATGGGTGCATTATAGTTAAACAATCCTTTAATAAAAATGTTTAAATATATATTGGCGTCACGCTGAAAAATAAACAACAATGTGGACTGTGTGATGTTATTAACATCCCTTCAAATCATGAATATTACGCGATAAAATGATTCACATTATTGTCCAAAATAAGCCTGCCCTAGTTTCATATTTGTGATTGGAACAAAGTTAAATAGCGTTATCTCCCCTTTTGGAAAACCTTTTCATGAAAACTCGGATGAGCCGGCTTAGCATATGCTGTCACATATTTGAGCGTGTATCTGAAGCGACAAAATGCACTGCACGTATGTGAGTACGCAGACATGTGGCCTGTGGCCCTAATTTCTTGATTAAACTCTCAAAGAATTAAACCGTTTTAAGTTTCCTTACATATTACTTTCAATGCAGTAATAACATTTGTTACATGTCCTTTACACAGGGAACCCAACATTTGCTCCGAGAAAGGGTTTGGACAAGAGCTGAAATTGCGGCTGGGTTTGAGGCTAGGTTTAGTTTCAGGAAAAGGGTAATGTAAAGAGTTTGGTCCATGTTTAAAGTTTGGAATATTATTAACGTAGGATATTGGAAGCGAAGCAACTGTCATCGGAGCATGAGATGCAGAATCTTGCACAAGATTCTTAATTTTAACTCTTGGATAAGGTCGTACATACAAATCCGCTATTTCTTACATTTGCCATTGTGGTCAAAAATGTATTTAACAATTTGGCCAAAGGAAATGTTGAAAACATCTATCCCATAGAAGCCACAAACCCCAAACTAGCCATCATCTCATAGAAGCTACTACCCCGTATAGAAGCTACTATCCCATAGAAACCATCACCCATAGAAGCCACCGCCCATAGAATCCACAACCCTAAAAAAGCTACTGCCCAATAGATGCTACCACCCCCATAGAAGCCACTACCTATAGAAGCCACAACCCTAAAGAAGCTACCACCCCATAGAAGCTACCACCCCATAGAAGCCACAACCCTAAATAAGCTACTACCCAATAGATGATACCACCCCAATAGAAGCCACCACCCATAGAAGTCATTACCCTAAAGAAGCTACCACCCCATAGAAGCTACTTCCCCATAGAAGCCACCACCCACCCATAGAAGCTAACACCCCATAGAAGTCACCCCACAGAAGCAGGCACCCTGAGAATGCTTACAGAATTAAACTCATCCTCGCTCTTGAGATGCTGAGCGATGAACTTGACTCCATCAACAGCCTGTTTGAACTCCTTCGAGTATCTCCCTCCTCCCTTCGACATCGAGGGCGCGTCGATGTTCGGATTACCGACATCGTCAGATAGTGTCCGGAGTTTGAAACTCGGGTGGAGGTTGTCAAAGATGTCCCGCCCGTTGCTGTGTGGGTTCTCTCCTTCTTTGTGCACCACCTCCTTGAGTTCAAAATAATTAAGGTCCTTCTCCTTATTGGGGTTCTCTCCATGATTGTACCTCTTGGGCCTCTTCATGTAGAGTAACGGCGGCAGAACTTCGAGGAAGACTTTACGCACCCACGGGCGCATCGTATGCGTGCTGGGTGCTCTGTAATGAATGTTCAGAACAATAACAGTAATGACAATGGAGAGGGTAACGAGGACCATGGTGAAGAGAAGGTAGCGACCGATGAGGGGGATGAGCAGCGATGTCGGGGGAATGATCTCTGCAATCAGCAAGAGAAACACAGTCAAGGCCAGAAGCACTGATATACAGAGTGTGATCTTTTCTCCTGAGTCTGAGGGTAGATAGAACACGAGAACGGTGAGGAACGAGATGAGCACGCACGGAAGGATGAGGTTCACCGTGTAGAAGAGCGGCTTCCTGCGGATATGAAGCGTGAAGGTGATATCCGTGTAGATCTCATCGCAGCACGGATACTTCAACGTGTTTTTGTTGGCCGGTGTTCCAATGATGTCCCACTCGCCGCTCTGCCAGTAGTCTTCCAAGTCGACGTCGTTGCTCGAAGGAATGAGGTCGATCAGGCTTCCGTCGTACGTCCATGAGCCGAATTTCATCGGGCAGAACTGTTCATCGAAGGGAAAATACCTGACGTTGATCTTGCAGGAGCTTTTGTAGATAGCAGGTGGAAGCCAATAGACAGTACCGTCGCTGTACACCAGGGCCTTGGCCATAAGAGTCACTTCATAGTTACCATCCGCACTGTGTGGGAAAGATCAAAGATATTACACCTTAGAAAAATACAACAAAATAAGTATTTGCCTAATGTTAAAATTGTATTCAAATTTGTGTCTTCAGCTATTATTGTGCACATTCTTACGATTGTTGTAACGTCAAGTCTTTTCATAATAAAGGAGCGAGATGGCCGCCCCTACCATTTGAAAAAGAGGAAGAAAATGGAATGTGAGAAATATTTGGCCCTTTTCTGAGAAAATGTGGGACGCATGATCCTAGTCTTTCCTCCCCAATGAGCGAGTCTAGAAGGGTTGGTCTGACTTCCCATAATAATAAGCCAAGAGGAAAAACATTGACTCTTCCTTTTTTGTTGACATTTCTGGCTTTTAAGTAGATAAAGAGGAAAATAAAAGAAAACGTATAGAAATGTGTACTATTCCTTAGTTTAGTCAGGTACTGGTGTTTCAAGATCACATGTTAATTCACTGGGAAGACAATGTAAAGTCTTCTTAGATCCGTTCGATTGAGATCAACGTCATATCTTTAAACAAAAATCAAGGTAACAAATTGAAAAATGATGTGGTCCTACTATATAGTTACGACTACGAGTTAATGGTGAGAACAAGTTAAGAAATCCCAACACACAGAAAATCACAGATGACTATCTATGGGGAAAATTCATGAAAACTGGTTTGGAGCACATGTCTTGAGAGGGCAGGAATGATGATCAACTGGAAGAGGCAGATCACCAGAGAAACTTCGACGTCAACTTGGAATTTGGTGTTTCAGACGTGATCGTGATTCTCGTTGACTCCAACGCAGGCTGTTACCATGGTAACAATGGTATGATGAATAGTGGGTTAGTAGATGAATGTAGGGATATTAAGGGGTGTAACTTCATTAAAATCATGTCATACATCAGAATTATGGGTAAACCCTACGATAAAGCAAACAATATTTTTAGAAAGTTCTTTATGAGCTATCCAGCCGTCTGTTTTCTCTGTCTTTCGTTCCTAATGTTTTTTTTCTTACTTAATTTGTCTTGCTCATGTACACTGTATACTATGTATGCGTTTATATAGTTCTTTTTATGACGGAAATAAAAAAACGAAACGAATGAGCGATTGGCATCGCAATGTATTTTTTTCATCGAAGTTTTTTTTTAAGGATGTTAGAAGTACAGGGTGTAGTTTGAATTGTAGCTGTTCTAAACGTATTTTGTGAGTCATTGTTAAATTAATAATATGATTTAGACTGAGCTGATAACGATGCATTCCCTCTCTCTGCCCATTAAAAAACCATAAATAAAACTGTAAACTATTGCACATCGACAGTATCCTATGATGATCCCCCCCCCCACAAAAAAAGAGATGAATAAAAATGAAAATAAAAGTTTTAAAAAACATCAACAACAACAAAAGAATGATCACAACCAAACGAACAGGCAGTCAGGTTGATCGCATCAGTGCAGGATCGATGGTTAAGATCGTTCAGATCCCACATCAGAACTCAAACAACATTACACCCCATATACACCGATGAGAGCGACACCGGACCGACATCTGAACGAATGAAAAATTGCATTATCAAGAATCGCTAAGTTTTCGATCATCGGTCGGTTCTGGGGTTCGGTCTGGCGGTATGACAGGGGTGTAATACCCACGGCAACACCACCAAACCAAACCCAGCCCGACTCGAAACCGACCGATTCTTCACCATAGGGTTAATGTAATTTGTTCGGTCTCTTTTTGGTCTCGTGCCGCTCTTGTCGGTGTAACTGGGGCATAACAAAATTCACTACCAACACCAGGCAGTGGCAAAGATTAGGAACATGTCCATGCGATGAAGGGGTGAGGTCAGTGATTCAAATCTCGTCCAGCGTTCTCGTGTGTCAATACCTCCTCAACTCAAACCATTCCTGTCTTACTTGTTGTACAGAATTAGACCCGGTGTCCAGATCTTGTGAGACGGTAACCTTACAACCGTGATATTCTCGTAATCGGATGGAAGCCATTTGAACCGATAGTCAATCCATTGCTGCTTTGAAAAGAAATGATAGTGTCAAGCCACAATTCTACCGAAATAAAATCCAGTACTTATGGACTGATATTCTTGAAAGCAGCCTAAATCTAGCTTAGCCCACTGATCTAACCTGCCTTATTGAGCGCCTAAGTTCCGTATACAAAGCAGATCAACAAGTCTTATTGATCAAGTAACAAAAGAAAGTAGTTTCTGAGTGACAAGTTTTGCATTGCCAATAATTACAGCCTACTTTGGTTTGGTACCGGATGCAGAAGGTGGCCTCGGCGCAAGGTTCAGTATATATTATGTTAACAAACGTAGAAAAGATCAAATTTATTTGACCAAGTATGAAAAGCCAGAATGTAGTTTCAGAAATATTTTTTTCTTCATCGTCATCAATTACAAAACTACTGTAGTTTGTTCAAGGATGGCAGGATTGACAATGGACGCGCCGTGAATCGGTGGACTCACTCTATGCACTTATAGCCGGCGTTTAAACCTGGCTTAAACTTAGGCGGCTTTCAAGAATACGGTCCTTCTTAATTACACACGTATACCCCCAGAGTTGTAAGGGGGTAATTAGAGCATGCTTACTTGTTGTACAAGACCAGATCAGGGGTCCAAATCATTTTGGAGGGAACGCGGAGAATGGAGATGTTGTCGTATTCCGCTGGGTTCCACTGAAGCTTGTAATCCATCCATAACTGCTCAATACAGTAAAAACAGCACAAGTTAATCACGGGTTTAATCCTTTTCATTTAAAAGGCTTCCGTTTCAAATTGAAACTATTCACAAAAAGATAAGGTGTATATGTACATAAGTCATGGTACATAGCAAATAGCCATTTTAACTGCTGAAAATTAGGAGTTTGAATATTTTGTAAACATGTTTTTTGTTTTCTAAAGTTGACTAAGACTTCTTTCATTTCTGCATATTTTAATAAATACAGATTAAGAAAACATAAATATTCTAGGAATGGAATTACACAGAAGATTTTAAGTAATTTTAAATTATCTTCAGGGGTTATCAGATGTCGGTTATTATCCGGAAAGGCGGTCATTTCCCACGAAATACAAATCCTAGGCACCGTGTTTAAAATATCAATACGAGGAAAGACAAACCAAACCAAAAACAACTCGCAACGGAATTCAATCAACATTACCTGTTTGAGCCAAACGTTGGTTGTCATAATTTGGTTCTTTTCGTCCTGCAAGAAGAGTAACAATTAGAAAATAATAATTAATTTACAAATTTCCTCTTATTTCTATAGGTGTGCTAATAAATTTTCAATTGACTGCTGGATCCACCGGATTCTTCATCTTTCTATGCTCGTACTCAACTATCTACCACATTAAACCATCCTCGTAATTCCTCGAATGCTCTGAATAACAAATTATACTTGGGCAGAAAGTGCAAAGTTCTCTGAAAACTTTGAGTCCCTTATCCGGCTCATGAATAAGAGCGATTTGATGAAAATAATCACTGAAGTCTGTAAATTGGCGAGGTGAAGTAAAATCTATGATCACTATTTCCGTGTATATTTTGGCAATTTCTTTTAGATTTTATTTAAGAAGAATAAATTCACATTGGTTAATTTAATATACATTTACCTTTTCAGGCTATGAAAGAGTGGGAGAGATAAATCATTGGTTCCAATGTGAAAAGGAGGACCTGATTAATGTAGACCGTTAGAAAGCCCTGAACTGCAATGGGATAGGTGTGCCCGCATGCCCGCCTATATACCGGTCACTAGTTTTTTTAGAAGGTGCCCGCTGCCCCGGGTAACGGGCCGTAAAAATAAATTTTTCTGAGATCCCCATAGGTTTACGAGTAAAAAGTTTCTTTGAGCGAACGCGGATACCTTACAGTGCTTTTTGTCTGCGATCGCCGAATGATCGTAACATTCAGGGAACTTTCAAGCGAAGATTTACAGACAGTGTCTCAGATTTTCTGTGATGTTTTAACCAGTCATTACTCAAGAAAGGAATAAGGTAAGAATACTTCGTAGATTTGTTTGTCAATTCGGTATATAAATGATATATCGACTGCTTTAATATTCGAAGTATAGCTGTTTTTATACTGGCTCTCGGGGACGTTACATCTTGATAACAGCGATGCCTCTCTTAGCAGTCAATATATCTATAATAACTCATACTCACCACGTCGATGAGTTGGGACATTGTTAGTCTAAAGTTGACATCTAAGACCTCCGAGTTGTTCTCGACTGGTCGAATCAACCTGTTGTACTTGTAAAATAGTTTTGTGAAGAGTCGCTCCTCAGCCTCTGACGATGTACATCCTATGGTAGGATGACAAAATATAAAAGATAGAATCAAGAGAGATAGATAAAATAAGAGTTTATTTAAAGAAGAATTAAAACAAATATTTCACATATCTAAAAAAGGATGACCCATTCAAGAAAAATGTGTTTTAATGGGGTCTTTGAAAAAGCTACATGTACACTAAATTTGAATAAAAAGATACTGAAACAACAACATCTTAACCAAAAAAAGTAGACGGTTTTATATAACATGTAAACAGACAATATGAAGTTAAGGGACATTCCATATATGAAAAATATACCCACAATAAATGGCTAAATATTTAGTTCAAGTCTATAATAATTGATACAAATACTTTGAAAAAAAATGTATCTAGATGATTTGATTGTAGAGTATCAATTCCCTCGTTTCATTATTTGAGAATTATTTAGTCCGCATCTAAATTCCGCCGAATCCCCTGAACGTCTAATAACAAGTGGATATAATGATGAGAAAAAGAGGGAAGGGAGAAGGCAAAATGCGATTCTTTTGTTAAACTCAAACGGGATGTTTATCACAATAGGAGATGATACATTTAAATTTTACCAAGGCATTTATTCATGATGATCACGTCATCAAATTGTGCACCATCCTCACTACAATCAATAAGGCCTACTTAGTACACGTAGAATTCGTGTTTATATATATCTTGATACTTTTAAAACCAATGTAATAAAACAAGTCATTGCATTTACAGCATTCAAGCTATTTTATAGTAGCTTAATACAGACTTTAAGAAATAAATTGTGCTTTGACGTGTGATACTTTGGGTAGAACATTATATCGAAGAAGAATAATATGCGTATTTCATATATCAACAAATATTATAAACCAGATGAGATAAAGTAAAATGGACATCCAGAGACAATTTCACCGATAGACTGATGCCTCTTGTCTGGAATAAATATCAAATTCCCTGGTTCTTAAAATATGCAAGTGAGCATTGTGATCGAAGCAAAACCACATTCCTTGACTATTGTAGCCTTTTGATGTAAATGCGTTATCAAAATATCCTAGATAGGATATACAAATTACAAAGAGACCCTCTTGCCGTCCGAAAATGGTATGGTACTTTCCACAATGTTGGTTGTTGCATATTTCAAGAGGGGGGGGGGGGCACGTATTCGACCAATCTCTTATGCCTATGTGCAGAAAGCAATTGTACATGAGCCAGTCCCGAGAGTACATGCATGCTTTCTTCCCATCCTGCGTTGTTTTCATTCATAATCTCTGATCGATTATTTCCACTGTTGGGCATTGATTTATTTGTATTCGCCTCAGGTCACTACGTAATATTCCTCTCGCAATTTGGTTCGTCTGCAGGACTGCAGAGCTCAGTCGCTGATATCATACTACGAGCGTTCTGCTCACCCTCTTTATTCAAGATCAAGTTCTCTCTATATACTAAGTATTGTTGTGTACTGCAAGGTTCTGGAGTCATCAAAATTATAAAAAATGTGGCCCAGTCTTGGTAAAGTAACAAGCACTGCACACAGAAAGATGTATATGGGACTACACAAACGGTGCCGGAGCTACTTACCTTGATTTCCTTATCTTTCTATGTATGCTCATTTCTCAGCCAGTATATATTTTCTGCCGACATTGTTTGGCAAATGACATTTATTTGTAATTTTGAACATTCAGTGTAAGTTTCGTTTGATTCTGTGAGAATTCATTTTCTTTTTCTCACCAGAACTCAAGTTTATTTTAAAATTCATCTATAAAAACATCTACCATCAGCGTTATGTAAAGGTTGTTGCACACGATACGTTGCTTGACTGACGTAGCCTGTGATGCCTTGTGTGAGAGTGACATTGTACAGAAAGTAAATGCAAAATGCAAAATGCAAAATTACATCGAATTACTAGCGCATCCACTGATTACCGTCATTGCTTTGATTAGTGAATGAATAATTAGTCTACGTGATAATGTCATCGGATGTGACGTCACGTATGCAACGGGCATTACCTTAACAAGGCACAGCTACAATGCTTCATTCAACCTTTATTTTATATCATACATATTTACTGTAAATATATATGATATCACAAGCATCGAGTACAAGTTAATTTTTATTCGGTGCAACGTATAGCACAACAGTCTATGTACGTGTCCTCTGTAACAAATTGTGTATCAGATATGTCTGAAAACAACAACATTAATTTCATTCTCGTTATAGATCTTATAGGTGAAGAACAAGCATTGTTCATCTACGTCTCGTGAAATGACATACGTGAGATCAAGTCGCGGAGTTCATCAGCAATTGTTGCCAGTTTAAGGTGGATCACCAGTAGCATATATAAAAGAGCACTACCCATGTCTTGCTTTTTTAATTCCATTCTATTAGCGTTGACATTTCACTCCCAACAATCCGCATCTCTCTAGGCACACCACGCTGGTCAGCGTGCGCGGAATATCATCACTATACAGGGTGTGCCATAAAAAAATTACCGAGAAGCAACATCTCCATGCGCTAAGCATAGCTGATAAAAAGGATTCGTTTTTCAAAGTTGATGTGTATTCATGCAATTATTTTGTGAAAGAAATTATACGGATTATGATTGTCTGGAGAAATAGGAATGCTGGTTTACTAGCTGTATTTTAAAAATCATCACTATCTATAGAATTGAGTGGATCTCGCTGAAATCACAAAAAACATACTGTAAAGACGAAACAAAATGATGTGTTAATGGAACTACACAAACATAATGTGATCAACATATTGGTCCAATAGTTTCCATTCAGTTTTAATCATATCAAAAATATTAGAACATTTTCAAGAGAAAAAAGGTTTTGAAAAAATTGTCATCTTTACTGGTACTTGGCCTTTTTTTAAAGACTGAAAAGGGTTAATAATTTCGTTAAAAAGACATTTTTCTTAGACAATGTCGATGTCAGCACCCCCCCCCCCCCCCGCGCTACCCACCCGAGGCTAAGCAGAGGAGGTGGATACAAAATAGTTCAAGGATTCGGGAGTGTCTGTTTGGTGAAAAGTATCAGAATAATGAGAACCGACAGAAGCAGGGCATTGTCATTTATTGTAAATTAGGTTGCATGTCTGATTTCATTTAAACAGGCCACTCTCGGAGTGCAGTGAATTTCTGTCACAAAGTGAACTTCATAGGTTAAATAGGTTAGCCATTTAATTGGGCACCTGTATTTTCCGCGAAATGTGCCCCAAACGAGCTTTAACAGTAAACGTACTCATAAAGAGTTGTCCGCTTGCTTACTTTGTTCTCACATTTGAACTATTTTGTTTTTGTTATATATATATATTTGTTTTAATTTATGCCAATCTATGTTAATTGTCATTGACATGTATATTTTTTTAATTTTGCATGTTTTTATCTGTGAACTACATGTATATCGTAATTCAGCCATCAATGGCTGCGAAGATATATTTTGATAAACCTTGAATTGAATTGAATTGAATTTGTTCGTTACCTAAATCCAGACAAGTAATTATAAATAGTTCTCATGAAATGCCCAAGTTATATTTTTAAAAAACTATATGTTTTGTGATAGACATGTATGCACATTCTTAGCTCATTTTGTTTTCATGAAAAGTAAAAGGAAACTATTATTTTATGAAGTTGGCAAATTCATAGATTTTATCGTTTCTTCATGTTGGGTAAACTACAATTGAGTGTAGATTTCGAATATATTCAAATTACGTAACAATATCTATTTGCATCCTACGACTTTCTCATTTCTTTCCTGGGTCTGTAGTGTTAAATGTATATTAAGAACTTTCAATTTATATTGACACTGATGGGATTTGAACCCTGGACCCAGGTCAAGTTATCTATCCGCCAGACCTCGATACGATGTCATTATGCAAAGACTGTTAATGTGAGGTCAGACGCGTAATCCTTGCCACAATGGAGAGACTAGTAAGGTTTAGATATTAATCTGCATTACGGTTGGATCATAATGTACCCTAATCAATTGTACTCAAGAGCTTAATCGTTGCATTCGTAAACAGATAATTAAAATCTTCATGGCTATCTTTACTTAAAGTAACTTAAAGTAAATCTTTAATAAAAGTCGGTGTTTAACATTGTACATTTCATACGTATCGTGAGTAATTCCATTCCGCATAATGTCTACTGATTTCGATTAATTAGCATACATTTATATTTAACCTACATACTCTATCATAAAAATACACAACAGATACTCCTATTCTACGATGAATATTTGATATTTATTGGATGTAATTCTATTCCACATTCTATTTGTGTAATGATTAAACATTTATACCAGAACCAGAAGTAACGTCGTGTAAACGTCTGCGTCAGAAACGGATTTTGAATTTTAAAATCGTTTCGCCTTAGTTGCTGATGATGAATGTGATTACTAACTTGTTTGATATTTCTAATTTACACTTCCCCGACAGGATGGAGCGTTATGCCAATTCAGGTTTTTTTTCTTCACACACCTAAATATATCTGTATACCTGCGTCCCTTTCAATTAATTCATTATTCGGGTGCTGGTGATAGTTGCAAAGCATGAACATGCTACATTGTATTCTGAGACAGATAACCACTGAAAACTCGGGGGAAAAACAACAATATTATTCAAAGTATAATTGTTGATACGTCTATCCAGAATTACACTTTAATCGCCACAGTTTCCATAGGTTGTTTAAAGATGATAGAACATCCCTATGATTTGCATCTACTAGATGTATTAGATGTATGGATAGCATTTTTAAACGAACTGAATGATCATGCCCTTGACCTAAGAAAACACAAAATATATAAAGCTCGGAGCGCTCTGTATTACCGCAATCTCGCTGAAATAACACAATTTAAATGTAAATATACGTAGCAGCGTGTGCCTTAAGCCACGCGTGCATACAATTTCGTTATCACATAGTTTTGTGTTCCTTAACATAAAGAAGACTATAAACATGAAGAATCGTAAATGGTTGCATGGGGCTATACAGTATAGCGAGAAAATGATGAAATGGGATGACAAGTAGTAAGAGAATGAAAGATATTTCATTGTTCCTTTACCATGTTTAGCTTGTTTAAAATATTAAAATTACATGTTTCTTTCGATCTCTGTTTAATGTTCAATTCGCCTATTCTTTACCTTACTTCAATCTTCAAGTTTTGCACAATATCGATAGCTATTTTGCATAAGACAATTAAGAGCTTTTCCTTTCTGAGAAGGCAAGTGTCATAAAATTGGTACAAAAGGTTAAGTGGATTTTCAAATTAAAAAAATGAGACGACAGTTGATTGCAATTGTCTTGCTTTTACTGGGAGCTTTTTTCATAGAACATCTGTATTAAGGCGCCAAAATGTTTTAATGTCAGATTTCTATGTGAGGTAGTCCATCATGGCCGGCATCATGAAAAGTACCATAAACATCATGTTGGTTATAAGCTAAACCTGTTATCGTCCAATCGATAGATCATGACACTCGGCGAACTAATACATGATATTCCGGAACAGCTCTGCCTGCTTTTCGTCATCCATCACCATCGTAATTTCTTCTTGTGGGGTTATGACCAAGTGTGATGTAACAACAGTGTATGACATGGTGTAAACCTTCGCTTTCATTAGAAGCATGTCTGTTTGATTTAGTTTAAAATGATTGTGACAGTCATCCCCCGCAGTAGAACTCTCTCATTTCATGCCCAAACAATGTGATTCCCAATCAAACGAAAGGGCTCTACAGCAGCTTCAGTATCATATCACTAATCCAGTCAATGTATTACATGTGTGGAAATATTTCTATTAGAAATGACATGACTGTCACGTCCTAACAACAGACATCTTGTTTGTAAATGTGACATTTGATTAGGTATGAGTAACATGGTTGATGTTCTTAGTACCGAATCACTGAGGAGGGGCGTTTCCGAAATTGTGACCCATGCATATACCGGGCATTATTTAAGGACATCCCCGAAACGAAGACGATTCTGATGGCGACATTATCCCTCCCCAATCTCTCATTTCCAAATACTCATGTTGTTCTGTTTTAAGTGCCGATTAAATGGAGGGGGTTCGAGGCCCCCTTCCTAACCCTTTCTCTACGCCATGATAGCCAGTGAGTATTGAGGGACTCGCCGCAGAGACGCGGAATCTCCGAAGGATATCGGAACACCCCGGGAGATTTTATTTACCAGGAATAAGACGGACGCATGAGTCAAATGCTAAAGTGTCATGTTAATTAAACATGGCGATATATGCTTGCCTGTGGGAAGCATGTTGAATGTTCAGGGCTCTTACCAGAGGAAATTCCAACATCGCAATTGTATGAATTATGTCAGCCATTCTTAAGCTGCACCGCTTTTCTTCTATTAGTCGATGATCTATCCAATTTTATTTTAGACGAATGGGTTTGAAAATCATATCGAAGATGCTACATTGCTATATATTACAAGAAATTAAAATAGAGGGTAAACCAGTGTTTGTTTGTGCAAGTAGTCAAAGATGGCGATTATGAATGATTATTGATGGCCTAAAGTTTGAAAGCGAGACAGTTTTTATGATTTTCATTTGGTAACTAGAAAATTATATTTCAGTAATGGTGTTTTCTGACAAATAAAATAAAATTGCAGTCTTGTCATCTTCAATTGTAACAAAATATAAATAAGTAATTAAGGGATAAAGTAAGATAAAGAGAGATAACAGGGGGTAGACGGAAAGTAAAAGAATGGTGAGACAGCTACAAAAAGAAAGATATTACTTAAAAGATATGTATAAGCTCAAGTCTGTTCATGAAATTTTTGTGTGGTTTTTATTTTGTTTTGCTTTTACTTCGATACTTAATTCGCAATTCCAGTTGCATTTGATTCAACATTCTTGTTAATATTATATGAGATAACAGTGTTAATATGACCGACAACAATACCGTTTTTGTAAGTAGGAAAATATACTATTTCCTCACATATCTCGCTGCTTGCTACATTGTAGAACTAACTTACCAATTTATGCGCCTCATAATAACACTACATCATTATCTTTTGATAACTATATACCAGTTGGTCGGCAGATGGTAATAGAAAGGTGCAAATTGTTTATGTCACGTTGCTCTGGCACGGTGGGAAAAACATATTGTGATATATTTTCCGGGATGGAAATTCGGGATGGAAATCAACATTTCTGAAAGATGTAATCTTTCATATAAGATTAAAAAGAACAAAAGGTGTAATTTTAATGAGAATTCGTAACAGCTCATATGAAATTCATGTTTTTGTGCATAAAAGGTGCCACGATAAAAAATAATGAAATTATGACAAAAAAGATGTTACGAGCTCTCTCTGCAGCAGGGGCGAGTGGGGGGAGGGGGTTAGGGTTGAAACATTCCTTCGGTCAGTGTACATGACTTTCTTGTTTTCAAACAATGAATTTATTTAAAGAAATATTCCCCTTGTGATGTGAAGATTTAGATTGATACCATCATTTAAATTAGATCTATGTATTTCAAATTATTGTCTATTCGTGTGTGTTTTTTGCATCACCCGGTGTTGCACTTCAAAGTTTTCTAGACTTACATTTTGTAAAATATGCAATTGACCATTTGGTTGAAAGGTAAATACGACAAATCTATTTGTTCAGAATTGTTTGGGAAATGCATAAGCGTAAACTAGGGGGCATCCGGAACATTTTTATTCAAGTACAAAACAATCGACTAGCAAGAAATTGTATTCCCGTCGTAATGGACCTCCACACTTGCTGTTAGATCACGTGACATGTTAAGGTTATATTTGGTATATTGGTTGTGCCTTTAGTAATGAAGTTTGGTACCCTGGACGCGAGGTAGAAAGGAAATGAAAGCTACGGTCTGTAATCTTACATTGAACCCTCTCTCTCTCTCCCATGCCCGCTTATAAAGAAAAAGGAAAGAATCTATTTAACTAATCCAATGACGTCACTACAAATGTTTCGCCATATATGCGGTGCGCTATCGGTCATTTAGTGTGTTTGGGATATAGACGAAGGCAATGGGGTTTTGCTCGAAGCGTCGTGGATGAAACAATCAAAGGTAAATAAGAAAAGTGGTGTGTCTTGTGGAAACATCTTGCAAACGACCATGCTCTATTACTTTCCAAGGTTGAAGAAGTCCGTAATGGTTGTCTAACGATCGCCTCCTTTTCTGAAACGGCATGCACGTGTTTCGAATATTAAAGGTAGCAACATAATAGTTGTCGGCCACTACAACAGTATATTAAATAGACCACGCAGATATTATCCTTCTTGCGTGTCTTGGGTGTTTTTTGTGCGCTAGGTCTTTCCATTAAATGTGACTAACTATTAAGGGTATATTGTATAGCCATTAGTCCTTTCTTTCTAAGCTCTATCTATAATGGTTATTCGACAGTATCTATCGAAACCCAAAACATATAGCTCTTTCTATCACATAGTGGTGTATTCACCATTGAGGGTGTAGCCGGTATGACCACCCATTCGTTTGAAGGACCATGACAAAAAATCAATACAATTTGTTTAGTGTGTCACGGAACACGGCTGATAAGGGCAGGATCCGCCGCCCCCTCATTATCAATTTTTGGATACGCCTCTGTCATAAACCATTCATTTAGTCCTGTAAAAAAAACATAAACATCTCAAAATCTAGTAAACTTTGCTTACCTTGTGCAAAGGCGAGGATCATGATGGCTACTAGAAAGGATTTCATGATCAAGCTGAACGTAGTTCCTGTTCTGCCCGGCCTATCTCCACTGGTCGATGTGTTTCGGCATATCTTTATTTGTTGGCCGCAAAGTGAGTCCAGCCCTGCAAGAACAAAACAATATGAGGCGATAAATTAAAGCATGTGTCGAACAGTAATCCAGGTAGTATATATTCCATGATACATTATATCCAGATGTATAAACCTATAGAAACACATTACTTCGAATTTTTTTCTCCAACATGGTATTATACAGGCGTGTTGTTAAGTATTCCATAAGATCCGTATGAAAAAGAAAACGACAGGATGTATGACATGGTCTATCATAGAGTTGCTCTCTGTGAAGATTTATCCATATTATGTAGTTGTACAGCGCAGCTTCGTTTGATTCAGAATGTTATCAATTTTAACCACTATAGCTTTTATGTCTGCAGTATACACACCGGCTTTCTAATGCAACAGTCACGGTACAGAAGTGATATTGGAACCAGTCTGCAGCGCCACGACGGTGGTCCATCATTGTACACAGTTTGAGGTTATTCTCATCAACGGTAGTGAGATGCGATCTGTCACAGCATCAACCGAGTCCGCTGATTCACCCAACCCCAACCTTTCTACGTCTTACGGGCACTCCCTTTACACATTCATTTATCAAGGCAATGCTCTTACGTCCAGAGACATAAGGGCGTTAACTCTGCGTTTCACTGTACCCGCTCACGCCCTTCTGGCTCCAAACAGATGTCGTCATGAGTGCTTCATTTCCAAGAATCTAGCAGGCAATGACGAGATTTAACCTTGACCCCGGTATGGTAAATTTCAAACTTGTTCCTATATAGAATTGCCATCATTAAGCATTTTGTCAGATCCAGGCTGGGATGGGGTGACTCAGAAATTATCAGGAAGAAGGCCGCTCGATCCTTATAGAATGATAGCTTTCTAGGCATTGACCTTAAATATTGCAGTGAAATGTATTTTAGCAAGTTCATGGAAGCCCTTTTCGAAAGAACAAACATAATTCTTTAAAAAAAAAAATCCTACACGAAAAAGCTGTTTAATGGCAACTATAGTTTCAAAGTTAATGTTCGTTTCTGTTATAGAGTACGACCACTACCAACTTGCTTGTTGTGATTAGAAAGAATGACACGGAATGCAAATTGCGATCCCATTAAACGGGCGCCTTTATTTGCACAACTCCACTTCATCCAATCGATATCAACAATCATCTGATGACTAATAATTACTTGTTACGTGGAATCGATTGCCAGCAAAAAACTAGTACAAGCGCTAGCATATATTTCAATGTGATTGAAGCTGTTCGTGTTCTTAACCTATCCCCTTTCGTAAAAGTACTACTCGGTTAAGTCACAGTGCTTGCATCTATTTATCCGCATAATCGTCTGCGTAGTGATATTCTTTCAATGACTCGACCCGTTAAAATATTAACATGGTCGCCATTTTGTATTGATTGATATCCATTAAAAGATCAGTCACTCAAGAAGACGAAGGAATTGTCTTCTGTCGTCAAATGAAGCGTCAAAAACTGTCAGACAAACAATTGCAGAATATCTATTGGGACTACAGAAAGGCAAACACCGTGAAGATGCAATGTATCTAAACAAAACGTCTGCAAGACAAGTCGATCATCTCTGGATTTCGATGCGCTTGGAAAGGAATGAGGCGTGTTTTTATGTCTTTTGAGGGAAGGGTGATCTATTTCTAATGCATCGATCAGTATCATTTGAAAACATTGGGAATTTGCTGGTTGAACAGTAGTGAAACGATCTTACAAAAAATAATCAATGCATATGACCTAAAGCGCAAGAGCTATGGGACTACAAAGTACATACAACGAAAAAAGTACTGTGACTTGGACAGAAGAGAAAATCAATCAGTAAGGATTTAACATATCAAAGACAGTAAAGTTTTTATTGCAAAACCATCTACATGTGTAATGAGAAATGGTATTATTTGTTTAGGATCATATTAATACGTTCATTTTTGCTTTAGAAAACTGGTACAAAATTGACCCACAATCATAAAATGGCGTTGAGACGATGCTAAGCAACTGTGCAAAAATGAACGGGAGGAATGAAACCTGCATCTAGGCCTACTATACCCTTCTCGCTTTTCAACCTTTACAGACTTGGTTATATAAATGATTGTGTTGATATTTTAATCGTGTAAAATCTCATTTCTAGTCGTTTTCGAATATTCTGGCAGTAAACCAGAAATTTATCACTTCACACTTCCCTTAAGGCGATCCTACAGTCACGTCTCGATCTCTCCATGCATGTGTGCTTCCATATGCCCCTCTCTTCATGGCTCGTGAACCCCTTCATCCCATAAACACGATAAAAGTCAAGGTTAGGAGGGTGTCACAAACCATCCATCCTGGCCCTTTCCTCTACAGTCTCAGAGGTCACGTGATAACCCACATATAACATCGCAAGGTGCGAAGAACATTTCCTGGGGGCCCGAACATTCTGCACAACATGGACTTCAATTTGGACGGCCCTTTTTTTCTTCGGAACAAAGACAAACCGGGAAGATTGAAAGGTTGCATACAGAATCAGAGACACTACATTTGTTTTATTCTAAAATTTTCAGAAACTTGATGTTTTCTTTGGTTCTCTTCTCTCAACGTTTGCCCTTCTTTCACATTACCCAATACAAGTTCAGAAGCAAACGTGCATGCGGTAAGAGAAAACTTCAATGTTGTGTATTCTAATTTGGAGAAGTTTACATCTTTTCGAGTCGAAACTCTGCAAAAGCACTTGGTGTTCCGCTCTGCCGCAGCTGCTCGTGGCTTCGATGGCAAATGATCTTCAAAATGGCAGTTGCCTCGTTCTTCATTTCGCACATGACTGCTGATTCCCTCATTAATGTTCCAGAATTCCGCTCTTTTCACTTCAATACCCATCGTGAATTGCTCTCTTTTTAGCACCTTTTTAGGATCGTGAGGGTTAAGGACTCATATCATCCTTTAAACCCCGACGATTTCGGTGAAAATTGAGTGTTTAATTACCGTGTAAATGTGAAATGATGATTATCATCTCAAGCAAAGTAATAAAGCCATTTGTCACGGTTTACTTTGAATTTTGAAATGTCGATTCGTAAGAATTGTTTCTTAGGATTGGAACTTGGCGTAATCCTTTTCTTTTGACGAGCATGAATTACAATCGAAAAATAGAATGTGGAATATAAGATGTAATGTAAGATGAAAAACGTGACGAGGCGGACCAAACACATTGGTCTATTGCCTTTTTTGCACGTCATAAAGATGCACCATGAGTACAATATTCACATTGCACATATTTATTAACGCAGAATAAACGAATTATGGGGCTGCTTGGTGATCAACATTATTGTTCAGGTGACATGTATTGATGTATTGATGAACTTATTTTGTATCTCTAAGGATATGAATCGTGTCTATCGACGAAACAGTCCACGCTCTTCACAAAGATAGTGCAACTTTTTAGACGTAATTTTACATCTGAATGGGTTGTATAATCGTTATATCCTCTCATCTCTAAGACTTGTTAATGCACTCGTTCAAAATGAATTATTAATGTTCGATTGAAAATAACGTGTATATAGATCCTGCCATATTATTTTGAAAATTGATATCAAATAAAGCCGTGTTTTCAACGGTTTTCATTGCACAAAAATACATTACATTTGAGCTGACATGATCTACAAAATACTGTTTCGTTTACCCACACTGTCGACAAAGCTGACTTAGCGAACTTAATTTCCTTGATATCACAATATAAATTCGAACGAACTGGATTCCTTTTCTTCACCATCTATACTGATGCTGATGGTGGTGCTGGAGAAATGGTTTTTGAGTCGATCAGCAAGGCTTGATCGCTCTTGCAGACTTCTATCTCTGGTTATGGCAGTGAAGAAAAGCAGTTGATAACCTAATTAAAGTTTCGATCCATTAGTGCTTCTTCCAGGATGATCGGTGATGACAGACAGGTGAGAATAGCTCTATGGATCATGAGAGCTGCTTAAAGGTATAGTCTCGAGTTCGGGTATTTTTCCTGGTTTAAAGGGAAGGATGAGTTAGTTATATTAAAGAGGATATATATTGTGAGCTTTTGAATTCATTGTACGTCAGTTTAGAGTGGTATCAAAATAAAAATGTTCCCTGAAAAGGAATTCCTTGAAATTCGAAATATGAAGAGAAATAGCTAAAGTTTGGTCAAACATTCATTCCACTTGTGTATATGTAGTCCCATTTACCCATTTCTGTGTGCAGTATATGTGCTTCCAGCGAGACTGAGTCACTTTCCTTTGATTTAGATGATTAAAAAAAGTACACAGGAATTCTCTTGTGCTACATGATAGACCTTTGCAAACTTTTTCTAGACAGTTTTTTTTTCACAATGTTATTACATAATTAACCTTAAGTTAAATTAATCTTGTTGCGTGAAAAAAAAACATCTATGGATCCATTGATTTTTCTAGTTGAATGAAAATAGTTCTGGATCATGAGATATGGTTAATGGTATTAATGAGTTCTCGAATTCGTTTTCTTCCATTAGCAGGCTCATAGCGACTGTCTACACAAGTTTTTCATGACACTTATTCATGTGTTAAATGACAACATTGATGTATTATGGTGTTGTGAGAATTTTTTATGCGAATCGAGTTTTGGAACTTGCCGATAATCCCATGAAGTTGAGAATAATCAGCTCCTACTGTATAATATTATGCACATTATTGTGGTCCGATGTATTCGTATGGCAGGATATCAAGTTTTTTATATATGTCACATGATAGTAGTAGTCCGGAATGTAATTCGAGAGAGTATAGTTGTTTTGTTTTAGAATCATTACGTACATTGTAACCACTGCTTAGGGAAATTTCTTTCATCAAGCAGTAACAGGCTGCCAACATCTTCAATCATCATCACTATCACCACTAAAAACGTTTGTAGTCACCGTGAATCTCATTATTGTAGATTAATACACTTTTTGACTAGCAGAGAATACAGGAATATGTACTGCATCTTAATAGGTCATGCAACCAGCTATACGATCTACGGAAGATGTTGACTGCTTGGATAGATCTACAGGCCAGGTGGTAGAAACAG